TTATTTTTACAGTTTGAAGGACCAGGAAGTGCTACGGTATGATATGAATAGGCATATAGGTTATATATAGGGCCATATAGAAACACACCGTTGAATACTGTACTCTGTAAATCAAAGTTAATATTATATTGTCCATTATATCGCGATGTATCATCCGTGACGGCTGTTGGCATATTTTTCAGTCAGTGGTATGAGGTGCTATTGGATTATAGGTCTAGTCTATCTGGTTTAAAGTTTCCTTAGGCCTAAGGTGAGCTTATTTTCTTTTACAGTTTTCTCTTATATCATATCTTAGATCATACCTTTTACTTCACCAGTGCAAACATTTATTCTAATTTAATTTAAAAAAATAAATAAATAGCCTGCGTCCTTATGTTCCTTTCATGGGGGAGTAAACCAGGTCATAATTTGAAAATTACCTGTTCAACTGTAAATTCACCTCTCCCTCTCCCTCTCGCTCTCTCTCAAAACTTTCAAACTTATTCCCCATGCTGCAACGGTTCAAACATAAAATCAATAGGCCTAGTTACTTTATATAACCAATGAGGAATAGGCCTAAGTTTAAACTAATTCCTCCATGATTTAATATAAACAATCAGAGAGGGACAGGTAAAAGGCTACCAAAACGGCCTGACAGTGTTCGACCTAGACCAGTAGGTTTGGCTAAGCCTCTTGAAGCCCAGATATACTTGGTAAATGTGGGGAATTTTAAGCTGTTCTGTTTTGTCTTAGAATGTATTTTATCCCAGTGGCCGATGAAAAGTGGGATTGCGGGCTTGGCCTGTCCGACCAAGAACCTTTAAGAACATTTAAAAATCATTGGTCCGACCATAGAGAAAATAGACCCGACGGAGTGGGTAAAAACTCCCTTTCCCCTCCCTCAGACTCTGACAAAAAAGAAAAATCGGGATTCGAACCCGAGACCATTCACATATATGCCAATCGGATTTCACAAAACATGAATATTGTATAGTGGGTCCTGCTGATTGTTTACGAGCCCGCATATTTATAGAACGATACTGTTTGGAAAACAAATATTTCAGCATGAAAATGCTGACACGTGTGAAGATGCTCTAGAACTTATAAAAGTTTGATAAAGGTCATAGGGTCATCACTAGTTTTTATAAATGTCGAATTTTAATCGCATTTTCTCACTTAATACATGCAAACTATAATTTATAGTGCCATAGAACCAATACAGACACATCTAGATGTGTATAAGAGATAGATTTTTCAGTGGGATTGAGCACTGTTTCACAAAATATACATACATATATATATTATATATATATATATATATATATATATGTATGTATATATATAAACAAACTGTATTTGTATGTATACGCTAGTGTAACCTGATGAAGGGTGATGCCGATACACTTTGTTTATCTAATTAAATTACAGCAAGTGTTCCTATTTCATGTTATGTTTGCCGCTACTAAGTTCTACCTATTATTTTATATTTAAACATAAACATATACCGGTATACTATTACAGTATATTTATATATAATTATAAAGGTCTATAATCAACTAATTAAAGTTTATAAGTCATTTGATTATTTGATGTATATTTCTATATTAACTACATCAGTTTTGATAAAATTTGTATAACCTTATAACTGCGGATTTTAATTCAGGCCAGGATTATTAGCAATTGTCACAGCAAAAATACCTTTATTTTAATATGTTCAAGGAAGCGGAATAAACTCGGCTCAACTACTACAAGCAGCTACAAATTATTTTCGTTTTGCTTGAAAAATTCTTAGGTCACTACTCCCAAAATAATAGAATTATTGAAGATGTTCAGAGAACCATTAAATTTAAAATTCAAATGGACACCGGAATTCTACTGAATATAGGCTATTCTAATTCTTAGATATTAAATGTACACAGTTTATTTATGCTGTTTTTGATCTGACTTTTGTTGACGTTTGATAGTGAGTGAGGAGACAACTGATAATCACATATTTATTTTACGCAATGATTCTGACCCAAGACATCGTTTCTAGTTGGATGTGAGATAAATACTTATTATATAGATCTCCGTGGTCTATTGGTATTATCCTCGATTTGATAGCGGTTGCAGGTTGGAATCCCGTCAGAGTCACTATTTTCAGTTAAATTGAATTAGTAAGTAGCCTACAATCAAAATAATGACTAACTAGCTTTTGTTTATTTATCTGACTGATAACCATGATGATATTTTATTGTTCAACAGGCACCGAAAATAATATCTGGGCACTGCATATTAGATCTATGCTATTAATTGTTCTTTATATGTACTAACGCGACAAAAATTCGAAACTAAACTTGTGAAATCGAGGTAGTAAATGTTAATGGTGAAACTATAACCTTTCCAACTTACATAAGTTCTACCTTACATAAGTTGTGACTTTTTCACAGTATTTTAAATTCTGAAATTATCATACTTTTTTTTCTTAAAATATCGTCCTATAAATATGCGGGCTCGTAACAAATGAGCAGGACGCACTGAGCAATTTTCTCTTATTTCCAGACTCGTAATGGTTAATTTTTCACACGTGTCAATATTTAAATTCTGAAATTATCATATTTTTTTTTATAAAAATATCGTCTTATTATAAATATGCGGGCTCGTAACAATTGAACAGGAAGCACTGAGCAATTTTGTCTTTTGTCCAGACTCTTAATTGTTAAATGGCGTGAAACCTAATATAGTACGTACTGGCCTGGAAACCACTAGGATTTAGCTCATGTTGGTTGCAAAGCATAGATACTTTCGAAAGTCAATGGCTCAAATCCTTGAATTAGTTCATATTTTCTTTTACGTTTACCCATGCATTCTTGTGTAGTTCAATTACGTTCTTTTATTCGATTCAGATAAGCATGTCTGTTGTGAATGAGTATTTTGACGCCCTGAAAAACGGGAAGATAGGAGAATTAGAAAATTTATTAACTAAGGCCAGTGAAATTGGATTGGATGTAGACACCGTCGATTCTAATGGCTACAATGCATATGTCGTAGCAATAAACGAGGGTTTTGACAGTAAGTCAGATTTTTAAGTACATTAAATTAAACCAATGTTTTAACTAAGCGTCGCACTTATAGCATAATTGTTAATAAACATGTACACATTTTTTTCTTAAGTTATTATAAAGGTTTTATTGAGTTTTAAAGTCGAAGTGGGTGACGCTCTTCTATATGCTGTCGACAATAATTCAGTAGAAGCAGTTAATGCGCTCTGTTCGTATGCTGGTACACTCCCAGAAAGGGTAATTTAGATATTATTATTATTATTATTATTATTATTATTATTATTATTATTATTATTATTATTAACATCATCACCCCCACCACCATCATTTTCATTATCCTCATCTTCACACTTTTCCACCTACTCATCCTCATTTTCATCATCAACATCATCACTATCATTATTATTATTATTGTCATTACTATATACAGATATTATTCTCTTTATGACGACTGAAGCAACTCAATCTAAACGTAGAGACACTCTCAACAACACAACTACCTACGTGGTATACCGCAGGCATTTATATTATTATTATTATTATCATCCTCATCATTATCCTCCTCATCATCATCTCCATTATCCTCATCATTATCCTCCTCATCATCAATCATCATCATCATGCTTTTCCTCTTCTTCCTCATCATCATCATAATCATCATCATCCTCATCATCACCAACCCTTGTATTACTATTACTATTACCATTTATTATCATTATTTTTTTTATTATCATTATTATTATTATTATTATTATTATTATTATTAATTGCAACATGGAAAGACACATGAATTCGTTTGTAAAAACTTAGCTCACATCTTCAGTTGAATGATGCTCTCGTGACTTAATTTACGCTCTATATGCATATTCTTGCTTAAGTTTAGAAAAAAAAAAAAAACGCAGATTTTAATACTAATTTGTCTGATTGCTTATAGGATCGCCTGAAAATCCTCGACTGTCGTTGTTCTACTGACGAGTTTCCTAAAATTACAACACCTATCATCCAAGCTGCCCTTAAAAACAACTTCACAATCGTAAAAGTACGTTGATATTCTTATGATTATTATGAAAATATACAAATAAGCCCTATATATACATATATATATATATATATATATATATATATATATTTGTTTGTTATATATATACATATGATGTATATAATTAGTTAAACGCCGACCCTCCCATACCCCCGCCAGTACGGTAATGCTGAAATAGGTGTGTCAGGTGCAATTATTAACTTTAAAAGATGAGGCAAATTCTAAGGAGGGAGTGGAGAGTAAAAAATGGTTGGCTGCCTCAGTAGGCCTATCTATAACAAAATATGTAAAAACATTTAGACCTAAACGATTGGCGATTCTCAATGTGTTTCATGATGCTATAGCAATCAACTTCTGAAATTACTATTGTTATTAACTTGACAGATCCTTTTTGAACATGGAGTTCGAGTTCCGGACCCTGAAAAGGATCTGGAGCGTTTTACAGCACCGCCCGGTACACTAGAACGGTCCAAGGAAATGCTGAGCATATACCGGGCGCTAGCAAGTGATGCTTACATCTCAGGCTGCAGCGTCAATCCAATCCTGAAATCCTTCTCTCTAACTGACAAACTGAGAAATCTCAGCGAGAGGCTTGAAGAGTTTAAGTCCGAGTTCTCCGAGCTCGCACATCAAGTACAGGAATATGCTGGTAAACTTCTTGAAAAAACTCGCGACACGGAAGAAGTAAGTCAGGCATGTGAAGGTGAAGTCAAATATCTTACCTTTTAAGGGCTTCAACAGATGGGTCAAATAGTGGTTAGAAAAATTATCGCCCAAATTAAACCATAAAATACAAAACAAAAACTTCTCATCTTCTAGAAACTATTCCGTAATTGTGGGCCGTATTCAGTGGCGGATCCAGGAATTCAAAATAGAGGGGGCCCGGGTACTTTCACAGATGGAGGATCTGTACACCACCTCAGCGCGACCATGGTTGGGGCTAAGGTACCTCTAGATGTCTGGAAATTGCACTTTCAGACTTAAAATTTGAATATAATCTCCATTAAAAAAATTTGAACAATTTATGGGGGACAGGACGGCTGCCCCCACACCCTTCAATCCGCCACTGGTAGAGACAACTGATGGCTTCACAACTTTACTACAGTGGCGGATCCAGGAGGTGGCGAATGGGAAGCTCGCCCTCCACCCTCGGTAGCAGCCAACAAATCTCTATCCAAGTGGCAAAATAATTTAGACAAAATGAAAATGTAAGGATGACTAAACTATGAAGGCAGAGGCGGAGGCGCCCCATCCCACCACCTGAAAAAAAAGCCTGGATCAGCCACTGTTAATGTCCTTGCTAATTTATTTATATTTCCTTAATATTCTCTAGATATTAACAGTGCTTACTTTTACTGAGGGGCAGACCGCGGAACCAAGCATCTCAAGCCTATCGCTGGTGGAATACGCCATAGCTTGTTCTCAGAAAGACGTAAGTCAATGTTGATCAACTTGCTATAGTGCTGCAGTATGCAAGTCAAAAATAAGGTTAACCCCAATCGGCAATAGAACGACTATTACCATATATTACTGCATCATCGGTATATACATACTGTCAAGGGCGCAGATCTGTTTTGAAAGGTATGAGTGGGGAACATTTCATGAGTCCACACCGAAAATTTTAGGAAATAATACCTCTAGATGGCACTTTTATTATAGTAAAATTTACCATTAAATAGTCAAATTGAAGAGCCAACAAATTCTAATCATCATAGGCCTACATCTAATTAATCGCTGTGATGTACCATGAAATTAAAACTTAATGTATTTACTTTACTTTACCTACTTCATGAGCCGAAAACCAATCTTATCTTTACACGCCTTTCTATACTTCTCAAATTATAATAAAGGCACGCACACTCGAGTCGTGAGGTAATTCAGATGGTTGAGCGCAGATACCGGTATCTTGCTATAAAATAAGATATACTCTGGCTCTTTCGTTAAAATCTGGGTAATTTATGCGATTCATTTAAACAACGCTCTGGCATCTTTCTGACTTATGAAATTACATTGCGGACGAAAAGTGAGGTGAGCAACCCCCCTTAAAAATATGTGGGGAACGCCCCTTAAAAATATGTGGGGGAAGTGTTCCCCTGTTTTCCCTCCCTTATGATCTGCGCATGCATGTTGTATCATTTTACTGGCGAAGGCCGATTTTGCGAAGCTATGAGTGTCGTAATGTTTAGATATTCACTGTATGTTTGTAAGGCACATTAGGCCAAGTAAGTGTTGCCATATATACTAGATTATATTCTAAGCCATAATATTGAATATTGCTACGTCTTTAACTCAAATTTTAGAAAACTTTCGCAAATTAAAGACAAGCAGAATATAGTAAGAACTGAATTATATACATGCTAAATTTTGTAGACATTCCAGATCTATGCTGTACCGTATCTCGGCAGTAAATCGTAACAAACATTTTGTCTATATCAACTACAATAGGCCTATTAAAATTTAAATTAAAGGAATAAACAAATATAATTTTTAATATTATTTTACAAAAACATATGTAATTTACGCTGATAGCCATGTTAATGACACTGAGGTTTTCTTCATACCAATGACGCCTATAAGAGAATTTAAACGGGGACTAATATTGGGGAGGGTTCGTGAATGTTAATTTATGATTTAGGGTTAAGATTGGAGTATACTATTAACAAATCTACCAATTATTTGTTGAATTACGTTCTAAGTTTAATCTTTTTTCTATTTCTCCCACAGTTCATTGCGCATCCCAATTGTCAAAAGGCTGTTATAAATCAATTCTTTCGCCACTTGATTTTGTTGAGAGAAAAGTCGACACTACAGCAAATCATGGTACACTTGTTGATTATGTTTGCGTTTCCATTCCTGTCAATTGCGTTTCTAGTGTTCCCGACCAAACGTACTATTCGAATATTACAAGTACCGTAAGTCAAATTATATGTAGC